AAGAGTTTGAACGTGATTAAAATGCAAGTAATAAATAAGGAAACAAGGAACATATGATGATATAAGAAATTAGAATACACCTTTTCAAAAGATTTTGCAACCAAATCCGCTGGTTGTTTGATCCTGATGTCCAACAGAATTGAGTAATATTCACAAATTGATTCTCCTAATGATTTGCTTCCCGAATCCAATTGTTTAAACTAATGAGATTTTTCTTGTTCTTAATGCTAATGGGAAATAATGTAATATTCAAATGACTTCCCAAATAAGAGTAGTAGGGTGGAAAAACATTGTAGTTCATTCTGTTTAAATATTTAAATTTAATATATATATATATATATGTATATATAATATTGTATATAATCATAGTTGAAGATTAACTGATTAAAAATGAATGAATGTGAAAAAAAAAACTAACAAGATTTTTGTAACCATATTTCTAAATATCATATTTTTAAAAACTAATAAAACTAATAAAACTATTTTGTAACCATATTTCTAAATATTTCTAAAACTAATAAAATTTCTAAATATCATATTTTTAGTATATATTTCAGTTAATTTTTTTTGGTTACATAGATAGTATGATATAAGTTAGAGATTATGTTTGATTATAAGGATATAAATTTCAATTCTTTGATATTTTAACCCTTAAAGAAATTATCTATAAGAAATTCGGACTGCCTATAGTAATAAAAACATATAAACTAATATATTTATCAAAAATAATATTAAATATACTAATTTAATGTGATGGTTACAATTGAGTTTCCACAAATTAAATGCTTCTTGATTTTATCCTTTTTCTTCATTAGATTTATGTATACATAATATTAATAATTGTTATCATATATAGTTGTTAACTTGCTATAAACTAATGTTGAAGGGCATCTTGTGGACCCCTGCTCTGTCGGGTATCCGATAGCTAACACGTGGACCCCTGCCCTATCGCCAAGCGTTGGGATACCTGGATTATCACAAAAAAATATAGTACCATGAATACATCAAGTTAACAAAACAAAACAACTTCAAATAAATAGAAAAATGAAAAGCCTTTTAGTGTTTCTATTTGTTTTTAGCATTTACATGCTTGGCTACGTATCAGGTAGAGCCGAAGTCAGAATCACGAATGAACTTAAATTCCAGAAACGCTTATGGATGAAGTGTTATTCCAAAGATAACGTAATTGGCCCGACTATCATACCAATTGGACAATATTCTAAAATTTGTTTTCTGGCTAACCTTTGGGGTACGTCTCGTTACATGTGTACTTTGAAACAAGGACCTAACTATAAACACTATCAGAATTTTACAGCATTTAAGCAATTCTATTGGTTTGATTATGGAGGCACATGGTATTGGGGAGCCAGAGAAGATGGTATCTATTTAAAGAGAGAAGGTGGCGAAAAACCGATCGATTTATATAAAGCATATGATTGGATAAATTAAAATTGGATAACGATAGCTTTAACATGTATTTGATTAAAAAGACAAAATGATATATATCATAGTTGAATATTTACAACTTAAACTAGATTACACATTGTTTTTCCCCTTAAATTTAAATCTTTTGGATTTCCAAGTTCCAACAACAATATTTATTTCCATATTTCTTAGATCATCTTACAATCTCTTTCTTGCAAATATCTAAATAATTTTATGTATTGCAAAACTGTAAATCCGAATAACATAACTCATATTACACCATTCATGCCCTCAAAACTCATGATTGAAAGAAACATAATACCTTTTAGAGTACCCACATCATATACGTCTTGTAAAAACCTTATGAGGTCCGTAAGTTTTTTCATATAATTAAGCCTGTTTCAAAAAAAAAAAAATTATACGTATAAAGTTTTAATTCACTATATGTTAAAAATAATTTCATAATTAGTTTTGCTTCTTTTGGACAATTTTAACCCTATAATCATGAGTTAGCTGATAACGAAGTTAGCGCGATTAATATAATTATATATTTAAATAATAATGTATTATCTTAACAAATAAATTATCTTTATTATGGAAACAAAATCTGTATACCTTTAATAAAACATGGTTAAATATATTTTTGACGTTTAGATTTTATAATTAAAACAAAATTATATATCTGTTTGGGTTTATAAATAGAGCTTAGGGTTTAGATTTTACAATGAAAACAAAATCATATGTCGGTTTGGGTTTATAAAGGAGTGCTTAGGGTTTAGATTTTACAATTAAAACGAAATTATATATCGGTTTGGGTTGATAAAATAGTGGTTAGGGTTTAGATTTTACAATTAGAACGAAATTATATATCGGTTTGGGTTGATAAAATAGTGGTTAGAGTTTAGATTTTACATTTAAAATGAAATTATATATCGGTTTGGGTTGATCAAATAGTGGTTATATGTGTACATATTTTGTTTCCATAATTTGTTTCTATAAATTATATATCGGTTTGGGTTGATCAAATAGTGGTATAGTAAATGAGTTAACACGGTAAATATAAACTTATCACATAAATCGTAAATTATCGCGATAGCAAACAATTTAACACGATATATTTATAAACTTATATGTATATATATATATATATATATTGTTATCATGATAATTCAATAGTTATTCATCTAACTTATAACATGATTTTACTTATGTATTTGATAAACAATATTGTCGATACTTATATCATTATCTCGTTAAATAATTTGTTAGATGCGAAAGGTTATTTTTGTCCAATTATACAAATTGATGAGAGAACTAATTATACATTTAGCAAAGCTATATTCTTAAGTTGTTGGTCAACTGAGTATAAAAATTTAATTCACCCTTAGATAAAATTGATTAACAAAAAAAAGAGCTTCTTATACTATCAATAAATTTGTTCAAAAAAAAAATACTATCAATAAATAAAACGTGCACACAAAGTTTACAGCTTATTTTTTTTTTTTTGAAAGTGAATTTTATACAAGAAAAAAAATCATATGGAACAACATAGAAGATGTTGAGAACTCTTGTTTGTACAGCCCGTTGAATTAAAACTATAAGAATTAAAAAAGAAAGTATCGGTTATGAATTTGATTTAGTTTGGTTTAATTGTAGATTGTGGTTTACTTTAAATTAACGACACGTCATCACTCTTCAAAACGGTCATAAACCGTGGAGCGTGAAACGTGATTTTAAATTCGAAACCCAAACCCAGAAATAAATCGAATCAAATTCTCTTGTGTCCTAAAGAGCAAATGTTTATTCTTCTTTGCCCTCGTATATTCTCAATGCCCTTCATCTATTACAATAAACTAAAAATCCTATTATACCCTTTTCTATTATTGAAAACAATATTAATTTTTTCAAAATGTATAAACAAAAATAAATATAAGCAGTAGCCGTACGTCTCCCTCTTTTCTTCTATTCCTCTTTTTTTCGAGAACGCTTACCCAAATCCTTCGAAACTTTTTCCACTTCTCGTTCCATCAAATAATCTCCATTGAAGAAGCTATTTCATTTTGTACTCATTAGGTATAAGCTTAAATATGACAGCAATATATTGTTGTTGGATCTAATTTACAGATTTTAATTCAAAAATTGTAGATTTGTAATTTTGTTTGGTTTTCTTGGTTATTAGGTTAGTAAACTTGCTGTCTTAGTCGATTATAGTGTTAATCATGAATGGGCAAGATTGAATTGTGGGTATAATGCTAATTTTTGGATTAGATTTGTTGAGACAAAGGTTTTTTCGATTTGGTGCAGTCAGTACTACTAGGAACAACTATGTTTCTGGGCAATTTAAGTTTTTCGATTTGAACAACTGGTACTACTAGGGACAACTATGCTGCTGGGAAATTAAGTTTTTTTTTTTGTTTTTTTTTCAGGTGACAATGAAAAGCAGTTTATCAGTCATACACTTTGATTATGAGGGGTATTATTCAAGTGAAGGAGAAGATGTACGATGGATTTCAAAAGAAGATAGAATGTACTCTTTTCTCATGAAGACATCAATTCGTGAGGTATCATATTCTGGGTTGGTTGAAAAAATATGCAACAAGATGAGAGTAGATGAGGCTACAACTCAGCTCAAGATTAGTTATCTTCCATTACTATTGATGGAACGTAAGAAACCAAATGACATTCGAGACGATGAAGATGTTGTGTGTTACTTAAAGCAAGTGAATAAAGAAGGGTGTAGAAGTGTTTTGCATGTGGAGGTTACCAATATCGTTGAAGAAAATCAGAGGACTGAGGAAAATCACGGATTTAAGCAAGGTTCAAGAGAAGATTTGGTTAGGGTAGTTGTCCCTAGTAATAAAGAGATTCTTCCAATTTGTGAAGCGAATAATAGCGAAATTCTTTACCTAGGGGAACCTTCACAACAAAATGAGGTGGTGGAGCATGATGAAAAAGATTATAATGTGGATAATCTTGAAATGTTTGAAGATATTGGTGCAGAGAGAAATGAGTCTGTACGTATTGCATGGGAGGATGGTCTTAATATCAAAGTAGGCCAAGAATTTGGAAGCAAAAAAACAGTGCAAAATTTAGTTGAATTGGCTGGCCATAAGAACTGTTTTGAGTTTGATGTAATCAAGTCAGATTTGTCAAGATACGTGGTTAAATGTTCTGAAGCAAAAAATGGTTGTGAGTGGTACGTACGAGCTGCGAGGCGTAATACGTCCGAGTGTTTTTCTATTAGAACTCACAAGAATATTCACACGTGCTCTCGGACAACTTCAAGTACAAGTGTAAACAGAAGGAATGGCACACCAAGGATAGTTGCTTCTATTTTGGCAGAAGATTATCCGGGTAAGTTTGACACGCCAAGTCCAAAAAATCTCATCGATTTGGTTCAAGGAAGATTTGGAGTTTCAGTGTCATACTCTACCGCATGGAGAGGGAAAAAACAAGCTGCTAGTGAAATTCGTGGTACTGCCGAGGATAGTTTTATGCTTTTGCATTCTTATTTGTTCATGTTAAGAAAGATGAATCCTGATACAATTTCATATGTGGAAGTGGATAAGGAAAATAAATTTCTATACTTGTTCTTTGCGTTGGGAGCTTGCATTGAAGGTTTTCGTGTGATGAGAAAGGTAATAATTGTTGATGCAACCCACCTTAAGACTTCACATGGTGGAGTACTCATTGTCGCTACTGCTCAAGATCCAGATCATCACCACTATCCGATAGCCTTTGGTGTAGCTGATGGTGAGAATAATTTAAGTTGGGATTGGTTTTTCAATAAGCTAAAAACGGTTGTACCGGATGATCCTGAAATGGTGTTTGTTTCGGATAGAAACCACAGCCTCATGAAGTCAATAGGTGAGATATATCCATTGTCTCAACATGGATGTTGTATCTTCCACTTGTCTCAGAATGTGCTAGGAAGTGTTTTTGGAGTCAAGAAAGAAACAGTTGCAGTGAAGTTCAGGGAATGTGCTCGGGCATATACTGAGGCTGAGTTCTTACGTCTTTATGGTGACTTCTCTTCTAGGTATCCTTCTGCACGTGCGTACCTAGATAAAAGCACTGAAGTGAAAAAGTGGGCAAGATGTTACTTTCCAGGTGAAAGGTACAATATAGACACCACCAATTGTGCTGAATCTATCAATAGTGTTTTTAAAGATGTAAGGAAGCTTTCACTATTACCAATGATAGATGCGATTGTTCAGAAACTTGCTGATTGGTTTAACAAACATAGGAAGGCTTCTTCAGAAATTACAAATGGGCAGAAATTAGTTCCTTTTGTGGAGAACGAACTCCATACAAGTTGTGCAAAAGCAAAACTGTTGCCAGTGCTGGAATTAAACAGTTATCAACTTGAATACATTGTGACTGGACGTGATGGTATTAAATATTTTGTAGATTTGAAAACAAAATCTTGCAGCTGTAAGCGGTTTGATATAGATAAATATCCATGTGTGCATACAATAGCTGCTGCAAGAGAAGTAAAGAAGAACGCAGCGCCTGATCTGGAGTTACATAACTTGGCCTCAAAATTTTATTGGATTGAACTTTGGGTTTTGGCGTATTACAAGACGATTTATCCGGTTCCACATATATCTCAATGGACTGTTCCCGATCAGATAAAATCTTTGTTTGCATTACCTCCAGATTATGAAGTAAAACAAGGAAGGAGACAAGAAAAAAGGTTTAAATCTGCTGGAGAATATCGACGAAGGAAGCCGAAGCAAAAGACTAACAGCTTGTATGAGTGGTTTAACAATATTGGTGGTGAAAATTGATTTCTAAGTGCTTTTATTATTTTTTGAAACGATGGTGTTTTGATTTGACGATTTGTATTTGTCTGTCAAAATGATTTGTTTGTTTGGTAGGACTATGTTTCAACAGGTATAACTTTGGTTAGTTGACGTGTCGTATCTATTAAAATTTTGATTTGTTTTATTTTGGTACAACTGAGTCCAACTCGTACAACTATGGTTAATTGCCTTGTCAAATTTGCAGATATTTTTACTTTTTTGTTTTGTACAACTAAGTCCAACACGTACAACTATAGTTAATTAATAAGACATTAAAAGTCAGAAAATTTAATAATAAAATAAGGAAATTCTAAGAACAATGCATACATGGTGGTATTAAAACCACATAAAAATACATTTTACACAATATTAAACATATTTGTGTAAGTTAACAAAAGTCATGTCATATATTTTTCACATTGCTACATTAACAACCTTATACTTTTAGAGTTACTTTGTTTATTTTCATTACAAAGTGTAAGAACACCTAATATCTGTATTTTGATATATATAAATACTTAAATACATAGTGAACATACTTTAATGAGCTATTTTCTTTGGTTCCACCCAAAAAAAATGATTTAGAGTTGAGAACAACTGATTTTACTTGATTCTCGACTAGAGTACAACTATGTTTATTGGAGTGCAACTGAGTACAACTGGACAACTATGGGCAAAATATTTCCATTATTTAATCTATTTTTCAAGAATGACGGCGCCTAAATAGTGTATGTTGCCAAACTTTTAATATTTTTTTATAAAATGACGGCGCCAAGTTCATAAATTTTGTTTTTTTGCCAAACTACAACACATGTGATTTAAAAACAAAAACCAGCACACGTGGGTTACTATTGATACATAATCAATAACAATAACATAGTTGTACATAAGCGTTTAGTGGTACCTAAAACCAAAGAGTTATATCCTTAAGCTCATCAGCCATTGCTTTCATCATCCTCTTCATCATCAATTTTTCAGATAGTTGCGGCTCCTCCATATATTCAGATGCTGGAATATTTTCTTGTTCTGTCTCTTCCATAATTTCAACTGCTGGAGAATCTTCTCCAAATCCTCGAGAAGCAAGATCTAACTTATACAGATCCTTCCACCAAATTTTCTTCTGTTGTACATCGAGACATTCGTTCCACGCATCAGCAATAGGGTCAAAAAAATCTTCATCTTCTACTCGCTCCATAATGTCAAGCAAAAGAGCTTCTTCAGCTGCTGATGGTTTTAGGATACTAATGATGTCCTACAAAGGACAACAAAACAAAGGTTATCACAATCTCTATGTTTTAATAAACTACTACAAAACAAGCTCGTACTTTGCCCAAAATAATAATACAAAAATAAGTTCTTACATTAGTTGTTCCTAGTGCTTCGTTTAGTTGATCAAGTGGAAAACCTGTCATGCCATTATCTTCGAATTTCCTCTTACACATCAGTGGACATCCATCCTTAGCGCCTCTTACACTCTCTTGAAATTGTTTGGACATATCGGGAATGCATTCAAACACCAAAACCTAGACATAAAATTACACAATCACATATCTTAAATTATCAGCAAACAGATAAGACTTGGTAATGGAGCTTCATTTTTACCTCAAGAGGAATTATGAACCCTGGAAATAAATAGTCATCTCGCACTTTGCCATCGAGATGCTTCATCGCATGATCGATTTCTTTCATATTATCTTCAAAGGTAATCCTCCCCCAAGGAAAGGTTTCTACTACTTTCAAGTCATTCACTATCTTTAGAACGAAAGGATATATGCTATCATACTTTCTCCTTCCTCTTATTACCGTGCATAGAAAGTATAAGACAGCCACTTGTAAGCGATCTCCAGCACATTTATCATCCATTGACGCCAGCTTTCTTTCCACATCCTTCACAGTTATTTTTGTAGATCCAAATACCCTCTCCACAAATTCATAGCTACCAAAATTCTCAGCATTATAATCTGACTCATACTCATGGCAATCAAAACCAGTGATGAGAGCATGTTCTCTCATTGAATAGCGTATTGGAATGCCATTCACCACAAACCAGCTTACCCTCTTCTTTTGTGTAGATGCAGTCCGAAGAAGGAGCATCCACATACCAGTCAGCTTATTAGTCTTCTGCCTAGCCAAGTGCCATATATGCTTGAACTGCTTGTGCTTTGTAAACCATTCCTTTTCTGACTTGTCGAGCTTTTCTAAGGCTTTCAACGTCTTAGTAATGCTACACCTTGTTGATAATTTGCAACTCTTTCCATACTCGTTGTGACTAAAGAAAAAGTTTTCAGGTTGAAGTGGTTCTGTGTCGTCTTCCATATCCATCTTTAATTCATGCAATACAAACAGAAAATTACAAAAAGAAATTAGTCACATAATAGTTGTACCTATTAGTACTCAATAAATAAGCTCTCACAAAAACTCAGAACATAATCAAATTTGATTCACACATTTTTCACACTTCATTATCTATATAATTCTAACTACAACACTAGATAAGCAAAAGTAACAAAGAGCTGAAAAAGAAAAACAAGCAGAAAATTTAGGACAACATGAACCAGCAAAATTGGGTGAAGTTTTTAACAAAATGCCACACAAAACTCAAAAATTTAACACTCACACAAACTCAAAAACCCAACACTCACATAAACTCAAATCCGTTTCACACATTTGACAAAATTAAACTCAATAATATCAATCAAAAAGGAGGACCAATCAAACAAGATACAAAGACAATAAAGAAAATAAAGCTTACCCTCAATTCTCACGTGCAGTGATAGTGGATTTTTCACGACAAAACTGGCTGAAGTTTGAACAAGACAAAGGAAAAGGAAGATTTTGCTGAGTAATGCTCCAAAAAGAAGAATCAAGTAAGCTTCCAAAGAAAATAAGAAGGAGGCTAGAGAGAAATGAGAGAAGAGGGAAGAACGAACCTCGTCGGCGGCGAGATTGTGTGTTTTCGTCTTCCACAGTGGAGAAGGAAAAAAAATTGAAAAAGTAGGGTTTTCAATTTGGAATTTGAGAATAAAGGGTCGATGGTTAGATTGTAAATATCACATGTTATTTGATTTAATTGTCTTTTACTAATTATGTGAATTAAAATAAAAAAATATTCATTTATTTTTTATAACGGGGGCAAAAGAGAATTGAGTTGAAGCAAAAGGGACTAGAGAGATTTTAATTCAAATAAATCACCGACTCAGAGCAAAAATTCTCTTCTATGCGTTGAGACGCAACACAACGGTCATGAAGGGATTGAACGGAGACGGAGACGGACGGCGGAGGGAGACGGACGGCGGAGGAATCGTGAAGGGATTGAACCCTATCTTGTTCGTAAGTTACGTACATCATCTTCGATCTTCCTATTCTGTGACTCTCTAATTTTGTTACTATATCTGATTATCGATGATGATCAACCGACGACACAGGGACAGACGGAGGAGGATGGAGTCGAAGATAGATCGACGGAGACGGACGGCGGAGGGAGACGCACGGCGGAGGAATCGTGAAGGGATTGAACCCTAAGTTGTTCGGAGGAAAGATCATCTTTGATCTTTCTTATTCTGTGACTCTCTTTTGTTACTGTATCTGATTATGAACCCTAACATGTTGGTAAGTTTAGGTACATCATCTTTGATCTTTCTTATTCTGAATTTGAACCTTTCTTTGTGATTCTTTCTGTGCTTTGTTGGGTTTTTCAAAGATCAGATCACAATTCAACGAGTCTGAACCCAAAACATGAATCGTGAACGGTATATTAATTTCTCTTTAAGTCTATTTATAC